GCCCGAGACCAGACAGCCATTAGCCAGTTTGAAATATGGGCGTCAGGCTGTCAGCGGAGGTAGATTAATGTTCAGCAGGAATCAAGAAGGTAGCCATTTGTATAATGTCGTCCCTGGTGGCTATTTGTCAGACTGGTAAACAGCTCGGCTGAACACTCAGTCTCTGCAGAATAATGATTTCTTCATGTTCTTTTATGCTCCTCTTATCGTCATGCAAAGGCATGATAAGTTATGAAAGCTCATGCCGATCTTTTGGTAATCTACAGCGAAGCCAAATACGTTTGCATTCATGACGGTTCATGACAGTCATGCTACGGGATTTTGAGACCAGTCTGAACCTTTTTTATATGCCATCATCAGGCCACGCAAATATGCGAGTAGATGAAAAGCTTCCGGAACAAGTAAAAATACCACACCGGTGAAAACTCCCCGAGCACCCTGAGAACGAACGACCGTCTCCGGGCTGCCAAATGTGTCACAGATGCTGCCAAATCATCCGCCGGCTGCCAACTCATGGCCGTCTGTCTGCTTCCGTCTTCTTGAGTCGGCCATGTCGGTATTTCGGGTCAGCTGGAAGCACCGTCTGGTCCTGGTCAGCCAGTGCCAACTGGGTCTAGTATCCTGATTTTCCTCTCTGGGTACGTCAAAACTCTCTGGAAGTAGATATGTCTAAGGTCACTATGATTGTAGGCATCGATGTCTGGCGTCACTGGGTAGCGTGGCGTCACTGGGTTTGTATGAAATCACTGGGAGAGTCTGGTCTGAGTGTGTCGGGCCAATGGACGCTTCCGGTAGCCTGAGTGGACCTGAAGATCAGATGAGACCGAAATTTCATCTTCAACCAGCTCGGTTCTCAACAAGCTGGCTCACATTGTTGATTTATCTTCCGAATGGGTGCAGGACGGCATTGCTATCGATGCAACTAACCAACACTACAACACGTTAACACCACATCAAATCCGGCCTATATCTTTAGTTAACACCACATCAAATCCGACCTATCTTTAAGCGAAAGTGACCAATCAGTCTCTAACCAGACACCTGCAGAGGCCTAGAGGACCATTCTAATGGCAAAGTTAAACTAATTCACTATGGCCAGTGCAGCCCAGTCAATGCAGTCCATGCCAATACACATTCAAAATATGCAGTCTGACCGACCATGGATAGTCTGTGCGGTATCCCCCCCCCCCCCTCCACTCTCCACTCTCCAAGTGATGCGGGCGCTGCAAAGTCCAAACAGACAACAGCAGCAGCTGTGCTGTCCTGAACGAACCACTGACATACCGGGCAGATGCATCGGACTTACATAATATCCCAGCTTTGCAGTCTCTCATGAACCAAAAATAAATAAACACCCACGGGAGAGCCATTGCGGTTTGTACGGCAGAGGTAGCCGTATAAAATCTAGAGGAAGTATCGATCTGTCCGGTCAGAAATAATCCGACATTCTTTGAGGGCTTAGGTGGTCAGACAGAAGTCAAAGATCACTTGTCAGCAGCTGAAAAAAGACTGACATGAGCTGAAACAATAGAAATACCAGAGGAAGAAACGTGACAGCTGCATTACTTGAGAATGAAGCTGGATTCCACTCGTACAGCTGTGCAATCTATCCGTAAAGCTAAGCCCTTGGCAGAGGACAAATAGGTTGCAAGAATTCATCGCGTATCCTTCTTAGTTCCTCTAACCATTTCTGCGATAGCTTAAATTCCGTAAAAGTTTGACCCATTACTTCTAGGAACAGTTATTGCTGGCATCGCATGAAGCAAAGGTAAGTCTTGGCCTGTAGCTGTCGGTAGATACCGGAGAGCCGAACGCTGTTCATGGAATCCCCGAAGCTACAACGCATACAAGAGCTATTCTTAGGAATCAACAGCCATGTAGGCATTGCCGTCTTAGAGCAAAGGTGTTGTCATAGATCATGTCACGGTGTTAGGGACACAGTCCGACGAAGCAGAACGCTGACTGATGAGCTGTCAAATACACACAGTACACAGTACACACGGACAGTAGAACGGCAGCGGACATTGTAACATCGCCAGCGAGCAGCGGCTCACAAATGTTTGCGTTTGGCTGTAGTTTTGTAACTCGGGGAACACCAGGGACGGTGCCCGACGACAGGTCATCCGTGACCAAAAACATCCATCTAACACAGATCCTGATCTGGCGCGGAGCATGATTACACTCATTGAGGTGGGAAGTGGCCTCGCACAATCCCCAGTTACATTTCACAGAAATATGTGAAAGGCTAACGATAAGGACAATATTTTTTAGGGACACGTTCATTAACTTGTTTGACATTTAATAAAAAATGAATAATTTTAAACTGCATATAAGTATACATTGCATTACTTTACCTTGAACAAGGGTCATCATTCATCTGTATGTAGACGTGCTCAGTCCAAAGAATTTGGCATATTCCCAAAACACTACCATGGCCAATGGCCAAGATAAACAAAGATAGACCAACAGGTGGTCGGACACCTTTGGCATAAACTGGCAGATGCAGACAGAGTTGGTATGTGGGCCGGTTGTTGCATGTCTGTGACTGTATCGAATTCCCAAGCTCATTGACGTAAGCGTTTCAAATTCTATCATAATGCATCGTGATCGAGAGCCGATGACAACTCTGTATTTTTGTTGGAGGCCTTGTTGTCTTTCATGTCTGCATATAGCTGCAGCATGCAAACCAACTATATCCTCCAAGGAAATTTGATCACGTTTGAAAGAGAAGAATGTATTGCCGTCAATAATCGAAGGTATCTGCACACCAGGAACGCAAACATTTCTTCAGATGTTGCAGACGTAAAACAGCAAAGAGACCGGCATTGTTGCATATTGTAGAACTTAATGACCGATGTTATGTCATGTTAGGCCAGCTCCCCAAAAGCGCAGCCCTATAAAAGCACTCGCACAATCAAATCAATGCGTCCCCTAAACGCAGCCCCATACGGGACTGCTCGAGCCCCCATACCATTCACGACCCAGATCCCCTCAAATAAAACCACCCATCGCGTCGGCCATCCAGACCTGAATCAGACCACCCGGAGTTAAATCGATCCTGCCTCGATCTGCGTCTTTTGTTCCCAATCTGATTAACCCGCGCCCGACTGGGGGTCCTGGATTTCCACGCCCTGCTGGGGGGGGGGGGGGTGTTTGAACACCCCCCCCCCCCTTCTAACTCGGCTCCTGGGCCACGTAGCGATACACGGAAGGCGGCGTTCGAAAGAGCGTCAAAAATAATGAGGAAATCACTTCGGTCAATTTTTTGGTCAGGTCAAAGGTCAGGTCACCAGAGGTCATTGAAGGCAAAATTTCGCCGATTTCCAGGTCGAATGTCGACAATTTCCAAGAAGCCAACGCATAACTCGGGAACCAATAGAGCTACAGCGCCGCGGAAAAGCGCATTCGATAGCCCTATTAACGCCCTTTCTGAGTGATTCTCTCAGATTTGACCTAACGTCAACGGTTTTGCCTTCAGGGGGCAAAAACTGCAAAAATAGCCGATTTTTTCGGAAACAGTTTTTCTGCAATAACGTTTGACCCAAGCCTTGTACGAGCTTACTTTTACCGGCATCATGTTCCTCTCGTCAAGACGCATCGAATGAACTATAAGTTGACCTTGAAAGGTCAACTTGAAAATTTGACCTCAGGTCAAGGTCATGACCTGACCGGAAAGGGTCATGTTGCATATCAGTCGATCCGTATCGTCGAGCTGAACACATCTAAGGCGTTTTCATCGCTCTAGCATGCCTCTATCAAAAGTTATTTGCGAAAAACTGTTAGATACCATTCATGACCTAAGATGACCTCAGGGCATAAACTGTAGTGAAATGTAGTGGTGCAGCGGAGCGAGCGCTGGCTGGCCGGACCTGGCCGCTGGACGCTGCCCTGGGTACGGGCGGCCGTCACGCGCCCGCCGACGGTGAACCTGACACCGCAGGGGAATGGGGTCGGTGAACTGACGCCGCAGGGGAGGGGGCGGAGGGCACGCCCGGCCATTGTTCGGGATTAAGAGGCTGAGTCAGTCGGGAGTCAGGGCTGAGACTGGAAGGTGTTGTTGAGCGTTCTGTGGTGTGGCCGAGGTGGTGCAGAAGACCGTGCTTTGTCTGACTTTGTAAGTTTGGAATACTCACTTTTTTCTTGAGACTTTTGGATTTGCCGGGCGGACGAACTGTGGTGGTCAGAGACAACTCCTACAAGCTATTTCGGCACCTAATATCATGGCCAGTTTTGATGTCAAATTAATTCCGGAATTCGACGGCTCCGGTGACGTGCTCGACTGGCTGGAGAAGGTCGAGCTAGTGTGCGGGCTGCAGGAGCCGCCAGTGAGGCAGACGCTGGTGATACCCCTGCGGCTGAAAGGAGGAGCATCTGCTGTGTATCGGCAGCTGGTGGAGGCTGACAGGAAGGACGTGGTGAAGCTCAAGGATGCGCTGAAGCGTGCGTTTGCGGTGGATAAATACGCTGCGTATGAGCAGTTCAGCACCCGCCGTCTCCGCCCCGGGGAAACAGTTGATGTTTTCTTGGCGGAGCTGCAGCAGCTTGCGACTCTGTTCGGAGGAATGTCGGACGAGGGCCTGGGGTGTGCCTTTGTGGCAGGTCTGCCGGACTCTACCAGGCAGATACTGCGAGCTGGAGCGCGCATGGAGTCGTTAAAGCTCTCGGAGGTGGTGGACAGGGCTCGCGCCATCTTGCGAGAGGAGAACGGCGCATCGGAGGTGGCAGCCGCGCTGGTCAAAGAGTCACCAGGCGGTCGGGATCGCGGCCGAACCGTTAGTAGCGGCAGGAGAGAGCGCGGACCTTGCTTTACGTGCGGCCGCCTGGGGCATCTCGCCCGTGAATGTTCGGCCCGCACTGGCCCCCGCGAAATCCGGTGTTTCCGGTGCGACAAGACTGGTCACATCGCAGCTCGGTGTCCGGAAAACGCGGAGAGAGAGGAGGATCGTGTGCCGGCCTCCTCTCGGGATTAAGATGGAGCGGCGCACTACCAACGAGACACCTGAATGTGAACGGGGTGTTGTGTGAGGTGTTGATCGACACGGGATGTACCAGAACGGTGGTTCATTCGTCGCTCTGCGCCGAGTGGAAGAGGCGTTCTGTGTCCATGGTGACAGTTAGTGGTCAGAGAGTGGACTGTGCGGGCACGGCTGAAACCGATGTTGGGGTACCTGGGGGTGATGCTGTGGTGCTTGATGCGTTGGTTGTAGCGGTGAAGCCGCTGGGTTTCGGTGCAATTTTAGGAATGGATGGTGTGAAAGCTCTTGGGGGCGTGACCGTGCGTTCTTCTACTGATGTGCGATTTGCAGGCGAGGGAGACGTGTGCGCCGGAGCAGGAGGCTCCGTGGACCTAGCGGTGGAAAAGGAGGACTTTCGAGTCGTGTTCGATGCGAGGGAAAGGCGCTGGACTGTCGAGTGGAAGTGGTCGGGAAAGAAACCGCCAGATCAACTGAAAAACGGAGTGAGCGAGTACCATGTGACGGATGAAGCGAGAGAGGACTATGAGAGAGAGCTGGAGACGTGGATCGAGAACGGGTGGCTGCTGGAGTACGACGAAGAAAAGCATGGCGCTCCCAAAGGGCTGATACCGTTAATGGCGGTGGTTCAAGAGAACAAGGCGAAAGTGCGGCCGGTCCTTGACTTCCGGGAAATGAACACTCACGTCGACACGTTCACGGCGGACGTTGACGTGTGCAGTGAGAAACTTCGTGAATGGCGCCGGACGGGTGAGAAAGTGGCACTCCTGGATCTGAAGAAGGCGTACCTTCAGATACATGTGGAGGAGTCACTGTGGCCCTATCAGACAATCGAGTTCAAAAACAAAAGGTACTGTCTGACGAGACTTGGGTATGGTCTTAATGTGGCACCCCGAGTCATGAAGACGGTTCTGGAGACAGTGGCGAAGCAGGACAAGAACGTGGAGAAGGCAGTATCGTCGTATGTCGATGACGTTCTGGTCAACGAGGAGGTAATGTCGGCCGAGAAGGTGGCCGAGCACCTTCAAGCCTTCGGTCTCGAGTGTAAGGACCCCGCTCGCGCACAGGAAGGCGCTCGGATTCTCGGCCTCCGAGTCTGGGGGGAGCAAGGCGCACTCATGTGGAAGAGAGACAACGATGTCCGAGAAGTTGCCGGACCGGTGACAAAGCGGAAAGTGTTCTCCCTCTGCGGGCAGCTGACGGGGCACCTTCCGGTGTGCGGCTGGCTGCGGCCGGCGACCTCGCTCCTCAAACGACGTGCGAACAGAGCAGCAAGTGGCTGGGACGACGAGATTGACGACCCGGACGTGGAGCGTCTAATGGACGAAATTGTGAAGCGGGTCAGGGCAGAGGATCCTGCCAGGGGACGGTGGGATGTGAAGGGCGACAGAATCACAGTGTGGACGGATGCCAGTGCTCTGGCCATGGGAGTAGTTGTTGAAGTGGGTGACGAAGTAGTGGAAGACGGGAGCTGGCTTCGCCCCGACAATGGAGTACAACACATCAACATGGCAGAGCTAGACGCGGCCCTGAAAGGCGTGAACATGGCCATCCTGTGGGGCGCGGAAAGAGTCCGGTTGATGACTGACTCACGGACGGTGTACCACTGGATGACCGACCTCCTCAGTGGCAGGGCCCGACTGAAGACGAAAGCTGCCTCTGAAATGTTGATAAGAAGAAGGCTAAGCACCCTCAGGATGCTCGTGGACGAGTACGAGCTGGACGTGAATGTTCAGTGTGTCTCGTCGGCTGAGAACAAAGCGGACGCACTGACGAGAGTGCCGGACGCCTGGCAACGGGTGCTTATGTGCAAAGAGGAGGCTGCAGCATGCGCTGTGGGAGACGGAGACGACCCCGACAGGCTGGTGAAAGAGGTGACCCAAATTCACCACGCTTCTGGTCATCCTGGTGTCCGGAGGACGCTATACTTCGCTAGGAGGGCGAACAAGCTCGCTACGAGACGACTTGCGCAGGCCGTGGTGTCGGCCTGTCAGACGTGCAGGTCTGTTGATCCCGCTCCTGAAAAGTGGCGCGAAGGCCGCCTGGAGGTCGACACCACGTGGGACAGAGTCGCCGTCGACGTGACTCACCATCATGGGTGTCTGTACCTAACGGTGGTGGATTGCGGCCCATCCAGGTTTGCGATCTGGCGTCTCCTGCGGTACGAGACCGCCGCATGCGTCATTGCGGAGCTGGCGGCGATATTCTGCGAGCGGGGACCGCCGGCAGAAATGTTGCTGGACAATGCCACCACCTTCCACAGCAGGGCGTTTAGAGCTTTCGCCAACGACTGGAACGTCGCAGTACGATACAGGGCGGCGCATGTGCCGTCAGGGAACGGAGTCGTCGAAAGGAACCATCGCTCCATAAAGGTGATTGCGACGAGAGCGAAATGTGGGGTGGCAGAGGCAGTATACAGGTACAATACAACGCCGAAGGACGATGTCACTGAAGCTACGACACCCGCTGGTATGGTGTATCGGTACGACGTCCGAGTGAAAGACGTCGACCCCGTTCCGACAGTGAGGGACGATGGACAGCAGGAGAGCCGCTACCACGTCGGAGATGCTGTCTGGGTGAAATCACCGAGAGCACGCTGTGACGAGCAGTATGGCAGGGGAGTGGTGACTGGTGTGGTGTCACCGCAAACTGTCGAAGTTGACGGTGTACCAAGGCATGTCCGTCATCTGCGTCCGCGTGCAGACGAGGCAGAGCAACCAGTTTCCGCAGAGGCAGAGCAACCAGTTTCTGGGGATGAGGAGCCCTGCTTTGTACGGTGTCCCATCGACCGGCATGACCGAGACGACCAGCAAGACCAACAGGAGGAAGCTGCGAGTGACACAGAGGCTGGGCCGAGGCGAAGTACGCGGGCTCGGCCTGTCACGCAGTTGTACGGAGACCCCGTGCCGAGCGATGTCTTAGATACCTACGTATGAGCGTTGTTAGCGTGTGATGTGAGCACTAGCGTCTGTTGGTTGCGATCAGGATCGGGGGGGAGTGTAGTGAAATGTAGTGGTGCAGCGGAGCGAGCGCTGGCTGGCCGGACCTGGCCGCTGGACGCTGCCCTGGGTACGGGCGGCCGTCACGCGCCCGCCGACGGTGAACCTGACACCGCAGGGGAATGGGGTCGGTGAACTGACGCCGCAGGGGAGGGGGCGGAGGGCACGCCCGGCCATTGTTCGGGATTAAGAGGCTGAGTCAGTCGGGAGTCAGGGCTGAGACTGGAAGGTGTTGTTGAGCGTTCTGTGGTGTGGCCGAGGTGGTGCAGAAGACCGTGCTTTGTCTGACTTTGTAAGTTTGGAATACTCACTTTTTTCTTGAGACTTTTGGATTTGCCGGGCGGACGAACTGTGGTGGTCAGAGACAACTCCTACATAAACAGGGGTCACGGACACCATTTTCATGTTCAGTGTGTCTAAACCACTTGTAATTCAGTGTTTGGGAGTGTTTATAATGTCTTTCGTCCAAAAGAGGCGCATTTCAATTTTCTCCCATTGACTTATAATGGGGAGGTCGCAAAATTGACCTGACCTTAGGTCATCGATATCAAAATTCTGAGATATACATTTTGTACATGCTATTGCTCTTAGCAATCGCTGAAAGTTTCAAAGCGATCGGTCACTCGGTGTAGCTATGACAGACATTGAAACTTTTTATGAGGTGAGGTCACTTCAAGTGACCTGGTGACCTGACCTTGAATGACCTTGGTCTGAAATTTTCACAAAATGTGTAGAATTGATGTATGATAAGGTGCACCAAAAACGGCGGCGCTCCGCGCCGCCGTTTTTGAGATATTCGCGAAAAACCACAAGGGGGGGTGTTCAAACACCCCCCCCCCCCAGCAGGGCGCGGGTTAATGGATCGAGTTTCAGAAATGATGGCGTGGAACACAGCTGGGAACTTCCGCACGATATTGGTGGGTTTATCATCCCTGGGCTGGGACCGAATCCACGCATACCGGTGAGCGCACATCTGACGGCGCAGTGTCTACGGGCGGACGAAGTGCTCGGCTGGAATGAATGAGAATAGGAAGACGATCCAGTTCACAATAAATGCATAATTAAGATGTCATTCGAAGGTATTGGAGAAAAGTGTACCACAAACCTCTACATACTTATTAATAGCTTTATGGAGCGTAGGCAACAATGGGCAAGGACATAGGCAGGAAATCACCCTGAACTTTCAAACTAAAGGAAGTTAAAATCGCGGATCACAGTGCATACATTCATCCAAGTAACCCAACAACGTCGTCCCGCAAAACCGTAAAAGAAGTGAATAGTAACCCTTCCATGAACACTCACAGAAATGTCCTTAGGTCGTACAGCGGGCCAGATGTAGTCACACACAGTAGCCAGACCGCCTTCTCGCGTCCACCCCCGCTCACGGCTGCCAAACAACTGACGCGTCGCGGGCGACCCGGCGCGACGCGAGCGAGCCGCCGGGAGGGGCGTGTCCGCGCGGGCTGCAGCGGACAGCCAGCGGCTAGTGCGGGTGGGCGGGGACACCACCCACGCCTCTTATGTCAGCCCTGGCCCCGCCGCCGCCGCCGCCCATGTCAGACCCGTCTAGACATTGGCAGCAGTAGTGACGACGTTATGGACTGGCGTTCGCTATTTCAGCGATTAACTGAACGTACTGCAAACATCTAATGTGAAGTCCGCAAACCCACCGTGCGGTTCCCTCCCGTTTTCACAGGGTTGTGTCGCACAGACATCCTGTCCAATGGTCTGTTTAGATATCGTAGCTGAAGTCTAATGACCTGTGGCAGTCGGCAGTGTTTAATTAGCGCCGAACCTCGGTAAATAGAGGTGAAACAGACGGAAAACGGACGGAGACGGAGGACGACTGTGGTGGAGGGCCATGGAGGGGCGGCCATGTTCCATGACACAGCCTACACTGCAGGCTGTGACAACTGACAAGCCTTTCTACACGCCTAGACTATGGTATAGAGCATAGTTAGTATTCAGGAGCGGCCACGATCGTCTATATCCGCATACGGGTATCCGGTATATCATCACTGAATGAATGGAGACATGTGGCACAACAACATAATTACGCCCCATAGTACTCGTATATAATACTGTGATTCATCAGCTTCGAAGAGACGGGGAAAGTCCTCTCACGGCAGCGACGCTCCCGTGTGTATTTCACACCACACAGCGTGAGGAGTCTCCGTGTACCCGACACCCATCGGGTCTCACCCAATCTCGGCAACTCGCCGCAGCCATTAACTCCAGTCGGGATCATTAGATGTCACCGGGGAATCATCAACGCAATGGTGACAAATGAGTCCTAAACGATACCGACCCGAGAGCGGAGACTGAGGAAGCGAAGAGAGTGTAGGGCGTAGGTGGGTGTGGATGAGAGAAAGGAAGAATGTGGTGATGACCGTGATGATGTCACAAACGCATTGCGGGAGGGGAAGAGGAAGATAATAACATTGAAGGAAAGGAATGACTGGTTTATTAGTGGGATGAGTAACGTTCTAAATAGTCTCGCGTTCGTTTCGCGTTTTCGGTTACCACACCACGGCAAACAAATAACGTAACTGGTGTGTTACGGCAGTGCAAATGACTTTGGTGGTTGTGAAGAAGTCATTGAACTGTCACCCCCCAATGTGTTCGTCCTGTATACCGGGCGAGTGGGGCGCTGGAAGACTGAGTTTGTCCAGTGAACATATCAAGCACGACAGTGGAAGCGACACGTGTCCACAAAACTGGCCATGGGGCACAGGATTGACCTTTGACTTGGTCAAACTTTCCCACCATGGTCAGACAGAACAGTGCCGATAAGTTCCATCACGAATCGGACGCGTGGCCATGCGATATGACGTTTGTAGAACATCCAATTCACAAACATTCTTGTGAATGTCATGGCTGTTTTTATATCTTCAGAGTATTTCAGGAGATAAGAACGTGTGAATATCTGGACAAGGTATCATTCCGTTTGCACACACACTTGATAACTCTGTTAAACAATCTCGGTGTATACTTTTTTAATCAAGAAATAAACTTCGACCCAAATACACGGCGCTCCATTGACCATCGGTCCACAATGATGTCGGAGCTCAAGTGACGTCATCACGCGATGGTAAGGCGAGCAAGACCTTTGGAGCTGGCCTGAATCGGCGCCTCCCTGGCCCACGCACACACACTTCCTAACAAGCAGCGAGGTCAAACTCATCGTGTGAAGTGTCGGCACTTTTGAAAGGTCAGGCGGCTCTGGAGGGTAGCGAAGACTGAGACACATGAACTGATGGTATGGAGGAAATGAAGCCAAGCAGTACGTACTGGAAGTGGACAACGAGCTTCTTGTGAAATATAAAGCTCGTGAAGCTATGAAGCCAAGAGTCTCGAAGCCCATCCAATGTGCTCAGGAAGATATACCGAGCGTACGGCCACAATCCAGTGCATATTCGAGCTGACGTCTCTATTGATCACAGTACTCCGACTCGGAGTCTCCGAGTCGGCTCTTTTGTCTCCATTTCGTAGCCCGCGACTGTAACTCAAAGAAGCAATCCACAAAGCTCTGTGCCAGTTAGCAGCGCTAACAACTAAGAACAGCCCGAGTTCTGTCCAATGACTCCGTTCGCAGCTGCTCCATGAGCACTGAACAGTCCATGCTGCTCTCTCGACCTCCTCCTCGCTAAGCCAGACCACGACAGGCGGCGTTGTCCGTATGCAACTCACGACACCATTCGCGTCTGACGTGCCCGTCCATTACACAATCAGCGCGGACAAACACGGTCCGAGACGCGCCATCAGTGTCTCAGGTGCGCCGGAAATGGACGCCATCACTCCTGCACCCACTCACACTCGACTGAGCCTGGTACTGAACATGAGCCTTCAGACCCCAGGAGGCTTTGAGACAAACAAATACTGGGACTGGTTGAGGTCTGGAAAGTGTTCATTCAGGGACTGGCGAGACGGATTATCGATAAAATCGTCTCACGAGTAAATATTAATAGATGTTTTCTGAAACATATCGCGTCAAAGGTGGCCAGGTTTGTCTCAAAGGTCACCGGTAGCAGATTCAATTATTTCAACACATAATTCTCTACACACAAAACTAGCCAGATTACTTCAAATGGGAGTACCTATATCTGAGGTCGGAACATAATTAAGTAACCAATCAGCACCGCGAACCTGCTGATCATCCAAACTTTGGTTTTGTCACCCACCAGCCGTCATCCGCCAAATTTTCCTCAATAGTCGCGTCGCAGCCTGGTCCACCCTCACCGCTCCAGCTTACCCTGCCTCCCCCCCCCCCCCCCCCGACGCAGCCTGGAATGTCCGCCCCGCGACCACCGCCTACGCCCCCGCCCGACAGCGACCTTGTGGTTGCATCTCTGTGCGGTCCAGAGAGCCACCGAATATGGTCATACGCTCGGTACCGGTGTCCACGTGTTATGGAGAGCCGGTCGGCCGCAGCCACCGCCTCCACAGCTGCCGATCGAGAGAGTCACGATGGGGCAGCGTGGCACAGGAATCACGCCTTATGGGGTCTGTGGGATGGTTCGATTGAAGGATCTAAGAAGCGACGGTTCAGCTCGCTTATGTAAAAGGTGGAATCAATAAGTTTGGCCTTGACTGATGCAGAGGCAATAGTGATGCAGTGCGTCGCGGATGTTCGGACAATCGTGATGGATGCGAGAAGTGATTTTCCGGTGATGATAATGGTGATGTGGCGCCAACTGTCACGGTATCTGCCGTCATGAGCATGTCACTGATGTTCGGAGAATGGTAACAAGAGCCTGGACAAGAGCAGTCATCCGAGGCGAGGGAGTGACAATTTCTTTTTTTATCTTAGAGCGTATTTGCTGATCCACGTCTTCGTTCCGTTCTGCAGAGCATTGCCGAATGAGCGTCGGATAAACTATCGTATCAGTCTCTTGCCTTCAGGTGATTTGAGGGCATTAGAATGACATCAAACACAGTGACTAGAGTTTCAGCCAACAAAAATAGAACCAACTTCCGCCAGCTGAACCGCCTTCTAAACTTTAAAGAAATGGACCCGTCAGGCTTAAGTCCAGATCCAGCTACGAAGAATTGGGACCCGACTTCCGAAACCATCAAAAGAAGAAAAGTTTCTCGAGTTCAGACAAAATCGGAACACCAACGTTTAACGCCATGAGTTGACTTGGAAACTCGCTCCCTGTAGTCTGTCCGAGTCACTGCACTGTGTTGGCTTGGCTGACCTTTTGACCTGCAATCCGACCATGTTCCACCCTTCCCCGCCCCTCGGGTACACTCAACCCGTTCCCATTAGCATACTCCCACTCCGGCGGGCAGGCAGTGTCCGATATCGCCCCCAGCAAAAACTGACCACGGGCCGATCAAACACCGCGGCACCGCCCCCACACATAGTAGAGCTGCGGGATTAGGTGAGGATACGAGACCGGCACCAAGGCAGAATGGCTGGATTGGTGAGGGACCGAAACCCGACACCGGTGTCCAAAGGTCGACACAGCGGAACAGGAAATTGCCGTCCGTGAAATAACTAGGACAACCGTGGGGCAAACTGTTACTAAATTTGTCACTAGTGGCAAACATGGTTGCGGAAAAAATGTCTTCACAGATAACAATGGAAAAGAAATACGGGACTAACGAGCACATTAAAAAACAAAAAATGCACCTACCGTCATCGAAAGCAGAATTACAGCCAGACTGGCTAAATCACATCGACTTCAACAGAACTCACCTTTCGATTCATCGGTGTTCCAGCTTCATCGTCTATCGGATGAGCAGAACAGGATGATCGGCGATGCAGAGACGACTGCAGATAGACGACCAAAGAGTGACGACTGACGATATCCCTCGTCTTCCATCCTCAGTGTGTCGTGACGAGGCAATCGGAGATCACCAATTCCAGCCGAGTCTCGAAGGGACGCTCCGTGACACAGCGGCTCCGTGACGCGTCACGCACGTGTGTACCCGCGCCATGGTTTAGTGTAGCGTGACATGGTTTCTACCAGCTGGGTCTAGTCATGGCCGACTTACGGCGGCCTATCCCTTAACCCCATGCAACATCCTTTTTCCACATCCACATTGATCCACCCCCACCCCCCACACACACACCAATACACACCTCCCATTAACAGTTAAACTAGGAGCTTATGAGTGTGACTCATCTCAGCTCATCTGATGGATGATCTCAGCTACCGGCCCCACCCACGCTACCCACACCGGTAGCGGGGGGTCGGGTTTCCGATCCACGTAGTCAATGAACGCTAACTGAGCTGTTTTCCAGCTGACCTCACCCCGTCGCGTGACAAATCAAATGCCCATGATGAATGACATTTGACTTTGTGACACATATGTCCTTACAATACACTGACCTCCCAGTAAGCTGCCACTGAATGAGCTGTTCTTCTGACCTAATCCCGATTTATGACCATTTCCCATAATTCTACCCTGACCTTTTGACATTCTTTGTAACTACGCACTGACCTGTTATCTCAGCATGACCTGTCACCCGTCTTTAGCCTCTCCATGGCCTTTCACTGACCTGGTATGACCCCTCCACGACCCTTATTGACCTCAGCTCATCACCTCTCTGCATCCCTCACTGAACTGTCATGACCTCTCAGGCCCCCTAACTGACTTTCCTGACTCTTCCGCGCCGCTCACTGACCTTTCATACCCCCCCCCCCCCCCCCACGGCCCCAACTGGCCTTTTAACGACCTCCCATCACCCCTCACTCACCTGGCGGCCACATAGTACCCCAGGGCGGCGGCTGAGGCCACGGTGGCCAGCGCTGCGAACGTAGCCGTCCCTCCAACAGTCGAGAAGGCAGCTCCGGCGAGTAGCACCCCACAGCAGCGACCAATGGCGTACAGCGCCTCCAGAACGCCGAGCGTGCTCTGGTGGTAGTCTGGGCGGGGAGGGGGAAGGGTCAGGGAATATAGTGGTGGAATAACAACTGGATAGTATAACGATGAACAGACATGAATGGATGGCAAATGCAGCCTGCGACAGATGGACAGTGTTTACTTTGAGTGTTCATGATGCTGAGATGAGAATGTATGGAACACGGCTGGACCAACACAGTGAGAATAGCGCAAAGGGAAATCATCTCAGGGGATATGTTTTTTTACCTCCTACCTTCAATGATTGATCGAGGCGCTTTATCGCTGAGCTGAAGAGGAAGCGATGTCAAGCTTCTGGTCTATTTATTCGGTTATACCGATTTTTAAACAGAGCACCAGTATTCTACTCGGGAGTGCAGCAAATCGAAGTGAACCTACAAAAATAAATTATACGAGCACTGCGATGCACATAATCTAACAAATAAGACCACTTTGCGGCCCCTAAGAAGCAGGCATTCCCTGACACTCTCCCCGTATTCTCCTCCCCAAACGCTTTATCATCATGCTCTCTCACCATCGTGCGTCGTTTTGTCGACAAACACATGCGCGGCCCGCCAGAACAGCGTCTCAGTGAGGCCCGACAGGAGCTGAGCGGTCACCAGCGCCCAGCCGGTCGGTATGCACACGTAACAGAGGCATCTGGTGGAGAGCGCCGTGAACGACAGCACCTGCCGCCACAGACAGAAACAGGGGTGGGGTTATAATTCAGGGGTTATAATATTCAGGGGTTATAATTCTAGGGGGAAATGCAGAAATATTGAGAACAGTGTGAAGCATCGCTACTCTGTTACAAAGTTATTTAGCTTAAGACGCTAATAAGAGCAAGATTGAACATCTATTACCAAGCAGAGTCTGGAAGAGGGGCCATGAGCCCACTTAACCTAGATTGTCTCGTACACCAGCAAAACAGGAGAATGGTACTCTTGCACAACAATGCAAAAAGTGCGAGAGTGGCGACCTGCCGAGTTCAAACCCCTCCTTAAACTACCAACGAAGCTCGGCCAGTCCATTGATGAAGTTAAAATCAACGTCGAGTGAAGATACCTGACCACCTATACTAAAGACGTCACGCCACTCACCACGGAGCCGACAAATCCACAGCGGACCATCAGCGGTCGGTACAGCGCTCGGACCGGCAGACGCGACGCCAGCGCCGCGGCGGCTGCCAGCAGAAGTAGAGCTCTCGGCGCCGGCCGCCAGGTGGCAGTCAGCGGGAAGAGGAAGTGGAACTCGGCCGATGTGAGGAGGCCGGTGGTGAATACAGCTATGGTGAATAGCAGAGAGCTGCGGCTCGACCTGAGAGAGATGGGTGTGAAAAGGAGTCAGCTGGGGTTCAAACAGTTATCTGGGGGTCAGTAAAATCAGCTAGGGGTCATAAAGGTCAAATATGGGTTACAGAGGCTTGGTTGAGGTCACAGAGGTCTAGTAGAGTCAACATAGGTCTAATAGGACTCACAAAGGTACAGCACGAGCCATAAAGGTCAAGCATGGACCACGCAAGTCGGACAGGGTTCACACATGTCGAATAAAAGTCACAACTCGCATGGGCTCGAATGAGAGTTGAGAGATCAAGCGAGAGCTCACGCTGGTCACCTATGAGCCGCAAGGGCAGATTAAGACGAAGACGAAGATTAAGACGAAGGTAAGAGCTTACAAGGACAGATCAGAAACAGTCAGCACTCGGTTAGGAAAAATAGATGTTCGAAGACACGGTAATGTTAAAAATTTGTCAGCTCTGTAAAGAGTATCTTTGAAGAAAGTTAGATCTAAAGCTATGAGCAGTGAATTCAAAGATCAGTCGCAAGCATGTTTGGCGAGCGATTTAGCCGGCCAGCGATACTCACACCAGAGTCCTGAGGACTGCTCCTGTCCGCTGCGGCGGCTCCTTTCCAGCCACCATCGGCAGCCAGGGCACCATCAGTCCACCCAGCAGTGTCAGCGCAGCTCCCAGCGCCATCAGCGCGGCCAGCGGCTGCCGGCCAGCGGGCAGACAGCTGGGCAGCAGCGGCCACAGGCCAGCGGCTGTGGCCAGCAGCGCGGCCGCCGCCGCCTCGGCAGCCGGCCGGGGGCGCTCGACACGCTCCAGGTGTTCGGCCTCGTCCAGAGCGTGCCGCCAGCAGTGGAGGACGAGACGGCGGTGGGGAGCACCGGCCGTCCCCCAGAGACTGAGGAGGGCGAGAGTGATGAGGAAGAGGAGGTATGGGTCGAGAGGAGGCGGGTGGGGTGAGGTAGGTGCAGAGGGGACGGAGACGGAGCGTAGATCTCGGTTTGAGCGGATCTGAAAAAGCTGTGGCTGCCTCTCTAGCGACTTTGAGAAGTTGTAGCTCCAGTCTTTAGCCTCGCCGCTCTGAGCATGAAGGTATCGTGAAGAAGGCCTAGCTCTCAGCTGGAACTGGCTTCTCGCAGGCATTCTAGCATCTTCTCTGTTATCCCCAGTCCTCTCTAGGTTCATTTGTTCTGGCACACATCTAACCACCTCCCAACGGTTGTTCAGTTCTTCCCGTCGTGTGTCTTTCTCGGTGTCATCTTCTCGTAAATCTCTCCAGCCTGTCAATCCACTAAGCAAACTCCTCTTGTAACGTCTCCTCCGGCGCCTGCGGTCTCCCTCCCGCCACCGTCTCCTGTTTGTCTCCCGTCTCCGCTGTCGTGTCTCCCGTCTCCTTTTGCCACCAGAGAGGAGACGATTCAGTGTCGGAGACAAGTCTTCCAACCGATGCAGAGCGCTTGTCAAGCTCCAGCCGGCTGTGGGTTCTGTGGTTGGGCTGTTATCTGTTGGTCGCGATTGCAATTTGTAGTGCCTCGGGTCGCCGTTTGGATGCCGTCGAGAAGGAAGACGACCATCATGGTGCTGCGTTTTTCTATCGATAGGCCGACGTTGGTAATGATGGAAAGCTCCACCTGGCGGAATATGCCTGTCTGAATCGTTGTCTTGGAGGTCTTTAACTCCAGTGCTCGGAATATTTCTGTCTTCGATGTCTGATTTCAGTCTCTTTTGACTGTCTGAAGATCCTCTATCTTCAGTCTCATGACGTGTCGTATGCATCTCAAGGCCCTGCTCGGACGAGTCTCCCTCCATTCTGCCAGGCAACTGCCGCCGAGACCAGCCACTCGGGTCAACCGTACGCGGAAAGTCACGTGAGCCAAGCTCAGCAGACGGCCTCACATCAAAGGTTTGATCACGTGGTCCAGCATCAACAGGCGGCCTCACGCCAGAACTCTGACCACGAGACCGGTCAACCTCATCTGCTTCAGTAGGGAGAACAGCTTCACGGCTTTCGGTCTTGCTAGCACTCTGTGGTTCGTAACGACCACCAGAGTTCAGGGACTCGTCAGCCGTCACCAATTTCTCTCCGATCACTGTCAAAGGACCACTCACAGACGGGTTCACTGGGCTAGAGATTTCAGCATTTGGGTCTCTGGACTCATAGTGCTGTTTATCGAATCGGTGAGGTCTGATAGCCAGCACACGCTGTCGGGCCAGATCAGCACCACGGTATCTATCTTCAGGTCCCACTCCGCTCTCACTCCCAGCTCCATCTTCAAACTCACGTCTACTGTCACTCGCAAATCCAGTCTTGGCACGGTTGTGATTCTGCTGTAACTTTTCTGCAGGAACTGATAGCAAAGGCAGCGTGTCTTGAGGTCTCAAAATCACACTACTCAGATCAACAGCATCTTTTGACAAATCAAGTGTGTTGTAATTCTTCCTTTCACCGCTAGAGTCTGAGTCGGTTCCCCTCAGGACCAGCACAATTGGCGGAGGCTGTGTCGGGGGTTCTGGACCCGATACCACCGAGTGAGGATGATCGGGCGTTTGGTCATCTCCAGACCACATGGGTACACGACGCCAGCCGGCCGCCCGGTGTCTACTGCGGCCTGGATCATGACCTGAGGGTGACCCGGGCTGACCTCTGGTGGAGGGGAGGTCAGAGAGGTTGTGGTTGGCTTTAGGAAGGTCAGGAAGGTCATGAATGGCAGGGAGGGGTTTAGATGGGTCGCGGTTGGTTGAGGCGAGGTTAGAGAGGTCACGATTGGTCGGAGAGAGGTCAGAGAGGTCACGATTGCCCGACGGAGGCGGCGGGGGAGCAGGAGGAGCACGATGACGCTGTACCGAGTGTGTCCTCTGATGACTTGACCCATGTTCCTGGCGACGATCTGCCTGCTGTCTTGTCTCCACTCCTGGCAGCATTCCTCTATCAATCCCTGGCGGCCGCCCTGAGCCCTCACCTCTTCTCTGACCTGTCTCAGGCTTAGACGGGTCACAAATAGTCAGTCCGCCCGGATGTTTGCGAGGGTCCCACGGAATCTCGATCTGCGAGAGTTCCACGCATGGCTGTGTTTTGCTGTTATCGTCTTCAGACAGCGGTGGAACGGGAGGACGCTGGACAGATGGGTGAGACTCCAGATCATCAGAGGAGCCAGAGTCGCTGCTGGATGAAGAGCCAGATGTAGGACGCTGATGAGAGGCCGTATGGCGGTGCTCGCTATCATCACGGTGAGGGGCGTTCATGTTCACCGTTGGAGACGTTACGCCATCAGCTGAGGACTGTAGTCCATCGTCTTTGCTTTTGTCGTTTGCTTCATCATCAGTAACGTGATTGCGGTGATGCTGGTTATGATGCTGTCTCTCTAGGTGATGATCATCACGCCCATCTCCTGAGTGCGGTGGTGCAACAGGCAACAACTGATCAGGTTTGTTGGGTCGTCCTTGTTCCTTGCTGAGGTTCTGAGAGGCATCAGTAATGGGTTCACTGCTCTCACGACCTGAGCCTGAACTGGGAGGTAAATGGCTATCAGACTGATGAAACTCGTCAGACTTATGATGTTTATTATCATCACTGCTCACAGACTCTGGTTCTTCGCCAAACACACCAGTCTCTGACTCTGCTTGACCTGACTCGGATTCTTCACGACTGCCGTCTTCCTCAGATTCCAGAGGGGGCGGCGAGCGAGTTGTCCGTCGAACTTCCGTCTCATCTTCTTCGAGAGATAAAGCATCAACTACAGATGAAGTCTGGTGACTGCTGAGATGAGCAGGTGGGCGGCTCTTCCCTGGAGTTTGAGAGCCAGTGGGCGGTGGTTTCTGTGCGGACAGTGTAACGGCTGGGGGAACGTTAGAAGTTTGATGATCTGTCCCTGGGACCGTCTCCATACCACTGGCATCCTCGATTTGTGGGCCATTGAGCTCGACATTACCTTGGGAAACATCGGCACCCTGAGCATGAAAAGATACGGTTTGGGAGCCACTAGGTTTCTTCTGAGCATTATCATGCTTCGGATGATGACGCTGCGGTTTCACTTTAGGTCTATTTACCACTGTCGGTGACTGAGGGTGGTTACTCTCACTCGATTTATCCCCGCCTCCCTTTCCTGTTTCTCCGTCTCCCGCCTCCTTCGGTGAACCCTCCACCCGATTGGGCTGCAGGCTATCGTCAGTTTCTCCCTCCACCGATGAAGAACTGACTCCGGACTGCGCCGAAGGAAGAGGGGGCCCCACCACAGCAGTAGAGGGAGATGGTGGCAGTTGGTCACTAATCTCGGAGGTTGTTCGATGAGGTTTGTGAGAGTCTGTCGCCTGCCTACCTTCGGTCGTTTGAACTAGCGTCGATGAATCACTTTGTTCGTTAGTTTCGCTTTGTTCTGGTCGACTATGTGAGCTCGTTTCGCTGAGCGATGGTCGATTGTCTACACTGGTTTGGACATCAACGGGTCGATGCTCCTCGGTAACACCTTTGTCCGTTGGTCGATTTACACTCGTAGTTTCGATAGTTTCGGGTTCACGGCCCCAGTTAGTGGCACTGGTTTCGGGTTGATAATGTCCGCTAGTTTCACTGATTTCGGGTCGATATTGTCCGCTCGTTTCGCTGGTTTCGGGTCGGTAATGTCCGCTCGTTTCGCTGGTTTCGGGTCGCAGATGCTCGCTGGTTTCGCTGGTTTCCAACCAATGATGGTCACTGGTTTCGCTGGTTTCTGGTCGTTGGAAGCCGCTGTTTTCGCTGGTTTCTGGCCGCTGGTGATCACTGCTTTGACTGCCGACAGACTGATGCTGAGGCATGCCACTGCTCTCTGACCAGGAGCCGTCACTTCCTTGGCTGACGGGCGGCGGATGAAATCCTCCTTCACCACTGCCACTTGGAGGTCGTGAGCCGTCTGGTGACGAGGGAAGACCACTCCAACTTGACCCACCACTCCCGGCTGCTTCGTCTGTTCCCTGACTGAGTCCTGCCGCTGGGACGATGTCCGCTGGTGGTCTCAGTCCCGGCAGGGAGGACGCGTGTTCTACCACTACACCTCCATCGTCTCCACATCCTACAGACGGTGGCAGCGCTGCCAGGGCACAGAGGACTGCTGCTGAGCAGAGCGCACCGACAGCGGCAGCCAGTCGGCGCCGACCCGTCCGTCGTCCTCCGCGCAGTGAGCGCCACCACAGCGCACCACCGAGACCTCTCAGAAGAAGCAGAGCAGCCACTGCCAGGCCGGTCTGCAGTGGCGGTACGCCCAGCTGGCTGAGATGGAGGCAGAGAAAGGGCAGCACGCAGCTCTCGGCAGCGCCACTGATGCAGAGGAACGCAGTCACCAGGTGCTCGGAACGGTGGAAACTCATGGTGTCACAGCTGGGCCTGTGAAAGGGGATGGTAATATTGTCAGAAGAGACATACATTGTCAGCTAATGGTGTGAAAAGATGGGGTTTACTACTGAGATGAGCTAAATTGCAGCATTCCAAAATCAAAATGAAAAATATTATGTTCACCTGTCATGTAACATAGTTCTTGCTTTGCCAAAAATATTTAAATAAATTATCAACGTTTTTACCCAAAACTCGAATCCTCTCAATCTGCAAAAGGCACTAGCATATGTTTAATTCTAAAGCCAGCATCACTCCTTATCACAAGATAAAATCACTCGACAAGCAGATGCAAGTGAATGTACCAGTCAAGCTCCTGCTGAATTGGCAGAATTTGAAGATGATATGTTTTTTGTCAGAGTAAGTACATATGAAACAAAGCATGGAATAAATCACGAAGTGGGCATGGAATTCGTTTCTGTTCGTCATGTATTCGTGGAGCCCAGCAATATCGGAGCGTGAGAAATTTATGCGCAATTTATACAACACTGTATACACATAAAGATTACCAATCACTGCAGCACTAGGTGCTGGCTAGGTCCATTAAAATACCAGTTTTCCTGCCTTTATGAGTATCCACCAATTCAACTTCCAAACATCCCGCGGGTTCCAGCAGAACGCGACGTGCGCTGGGCTCGCGCTTCCAGTCGGCGCATGGAAACGTGACCGATTCTTGCGCACTTGTGCGCCAGATGCTTTGTTTACATTCGGATTGTGGTAACCACGTGTGTCGCCGGCCGGCACGGGAGTTCCCGGCGCAGACCGATTCGCGCGCCGACTTGTGACGTCGCTACCCCGCCCCGGCGCTGGGGAGGCGGCCCAGGACGTGTCTGTTCGTGAACTTTGTCCCATCACGATGCGACCGCGTGTCTGCGGCCTGCGCTGCCGCAGTGCGTCGGCCAGTGACCAATCCGCGCTCCGATCGGCAGCCACGTGGTGTCCGAGTGCTTCTGCGCATGTCTGGACCCGGCCCGCTGCGTCGGGCCGCGCGCTACCCCGGGACTTCTGGCCGAGCTCTTGGCCCGAGCAGACGCGTCACGTCTGGCTCCATTAGGCCCGTTCTGTCCGGGATTTATAACTTAGATTAGGCAGGGCATATTTGGCAAACTTGGATTTCATTCTCGTCTCTTCGTCGCTCCATTGTCTGATTCGCTGTTTCGGTTTTTGCCTTCGTTTTGGAACTTAAAATATAACAACCCGCTCTTTTAATTAATTCTTTTACTTGGGGCCGTTTGGATCGAACTGATTGAATTTTTGGAACACGCACCAGGTTGATATTTTCCATTTCTGATTAACGTAAAATCCAGTCACTGATATGTGGTGAACCGCCCCACAGCACCACATATTGGTGACCGCCGACGTGATTCTTGTTCGATTTTTCCATACTTCCGGGTTGTCGCCTCCGCTCATTCCCGAATCAATTATTTTATTTTATTCCCCCACATGGATTGCTATTCCGTCGCTCCACAGTGGCTTCTGCGCCACTTTTCCATGATGGTTTCTGTGCCATCTCTCCGCCGTGTGATTAGTTAGGTATTTATCTTCTCGGTGATTTTATTTCGGCGTTCCATTGGCACTTTCGGATTTTGCACTCGGTGTTTTAAATTTTAATTGTTCAGTGCATTGCAAACACCGGCTATACTTTAACGATCATGACGAACGAGGGCACGATGGAACCCGCTCATGCTGAGCCGGTCCATCATGTGTCGATCAAGCCGCCGGTTTTTATGGAGACCGCGGTTGACGGCTGGTTTGCTATTATGGACGCCCAATTTAACATTGCCAAAATCACCAACTCGCAGACCAAATTCTACCACGTTCTCTCTGCCCTGCCTCCGGAAACTATCTCGCACATTCCGCGTGCTGTCTTGAGCAACAAAAATTTCTCTGAGCTACAGACAGCCGTCACTGACATGTACGAAAAGACAAAGCCAGAGATGTTTGAGAAACTGATCAGCAAAACGCGTCTGACGGGCCGCCCCTCACTCTTTCTACAGGGTGTATCAGAATTATCCGGACACTTTGTTTTCACCTCTGATTTGGAAAAAAGAGAAGATTGCATTTTCAGTTTATTTTCCGATGTAGCCGCCCTTCATAGCGATACAGTCACGCATACGCTGGGGCATCCCTGCCACCAGGGTCTCCAGCACATCGGGCTTGATCCGGCCCCACGCCTTTTTGAGCTGCTCTGCTAGCTCGCCGGCGCTGGTAGCCGGTGTCATCTTGTCGACCTCTTGCTGAACGATGGCCCAGAGGTTTTCGATCGGGTTGAGATCGGGGCTGTTACCGGGCCATACACCACGCTCCCAGAAGTCGGACAGGTGCTGGCGACACCACTGCTGTGTTTTCTGGGCCGTGTGCGGTGGAGCGCCGTCCTGCATGAAGATGGCCCGGCTTGTGTCCGTCATCAGAGAGGCTTCAGAACGCCGCCTGTCTCAGCCGTTCGGTGGATGGCGTCCAGACAATCCTTGGCGAGGATGTTCTCTCGGTAATGCTCTCCGTTGGTGACCACTTTTGGGGGCACCACGTGCAGCTGGGAGAGCGCACGGTGGGACATCATTCCCCAGACATGCACCTTCGCAGAGTGCTTGACGGTGGGGACGGTCCGCAAGTCTGAGCTGCTGGCCACCCACACGCGGTCGTTTTGTCGGTTTGGCGGGTGGTACAGCTCGTACGGCGACTCGTCCGACCACAGGACCCGCTGCCAGTCTTCTACTGACCAGTTTTTTCGCTCCCGTGCGAACTTCAGACGGTCAGCACGCTGTTTTCAGTCAGTTTTGGCGATTTTTTCAGCTTCAGCGGCCTCTTCCCTAGATTTTCGGGGAGATAGCGGTGAACTGTTGCAGGGGATACCTTGTAGGCTGCATTGGTGAGGCGTCTCGAGAGTTTTCGGGTCGATTGATGCCGTTTACCAGTTGCCATCTTGATCACTCTCTTCACCACCGGATGGAGCGTGCTCTTGCGACCACGACCGGGCTGACTGGCGAGCCCCTGGCCCAGTTTCTCTCTCTTTAATCAGAGGTAAAGCTGGCTTCGGCTGATGCTGAGTTGCCTGCAGCCCATCTTGGGCCTCATCCCTTCATGCACCATCCCCACAGCTTTGCCACGAAACGAGGTGCTGAAGTTTTTCGCCATACCCCTCTGACGCTCAGATACACCAACGAACTGTTCTGTGACCCGACCTCTACTGACCGGCCGGGTCAAGATCAGCGGCGAATGGCAGACGGGTGGGGCGCACGATGGTCTCAGGTTGGTATTTACCCAACCTTTAAATTCATACAGCTCCATGACGGACAGAGAGAGCAGAAATACGAGAAAACAAAGTGTCCGGATATTTCTGAGACACCCTGTAAGCGAACTCAGAGAGGTGGCCGACAAGGTTGGCGTCGGAGACGATCTCGTTCGGCACAAATTTATCCAGTCGCTACCCACAGGCATTGCTACGGCCCTGACTTCTCAGCGCGAGCTCTCACTGTCGCAGTTGGGCAAACTCGCGGACGAACTGATGCCTCTTGTGCAAAACTCAGCTGCTAACATGGTTCACTGTCAGGATCAGGACCCACAGTCTGACTCACAGGCGTTCCTTGTGGCTCAGCAGCACCCAAGGTACCACAGGGCCACTCAGCCGCAGAGCCGAGCCGCCACACACTCCCCTGCTCGTGATGCTCGTGATTCAAGGGCGTCTCTCGGTCTCACGCCGTTCCACCCTGACCAGAAGCCGAAAGTATGCCGTGCTCACCTGTTTTTCGGCAGCAGAGCACGCACTTGCAAGCCATGGTGTCACTGGCCCGACAAAGCTGCTGATCTGACCATGCAGCCGTCCTCACGAGCTGCATCTCCCTCCCGTGCAGCCTCAGAGTCGGGAAACGAGAGGAGCAGGCCGTAAACGCAGCCCTCGGCCTGCCGCTCCTTAGGGTAACAGCCAAGGTGAATGATCAGCCCCTGAAATTCATCGTGGATACTGGCGCTGGTGTATCCCTGGTTCCGCCCTCCTATGTGAACGGAACTATAATCCACCCGTCCGCTGTTTCGATCACGACTGCCAGCGGGCAGCCACTGCGCGTGCATGGCGAGGCCACTCTCGATATTGTCCTCCCCACACTCAGACGCAGTTACACATGGACATTTGTAGTGGCTGAAGTGACAGAGCCACTACTCGGTAACGATTTTCTCGCTCACAACTCGTTGGTTGTCGATTGTGGTTCCCAAGTTCTCCGCGACTCCACCACTCTGCTCTCTGCTCCCGGTGTACCGACGACCGGGGAGTCTGTTCATTTGGTGATAAACGATCTCGCTCAGGTGCCTGAGGCAGTGCGGCCCATCCTAGAGGATCACCCCGCTGTTCTCAGCCCTAACCAGCCGGAGTACACAGACTCGCCAATCAAAACCACTCACTTCATCGACACCGGCAGCGCTCCACCCACATTCGCCAGCCCACGCAAGCTGCCGCCCGACAAACTAACCGCAGCAAAGCAAGCACTCGATGTGCTGCTCAAAACAGGAGTGATTCGTCCGTCTAGGTCCCCGTGGGCCTCACCCATCCACATGGTTCCGAAGAGTACCCCTGGTGAGTGGCGTGTCACCGGTGATTACCGCGCGCTCAACGCCGTAACCAAACCGGACCGCTACCCACTGCCGCACATTCAGAGCCTCTCAACCAAGCTCCACAACGCTCAGTGGTTCAGTAAAATCGATCTGCTCCGTGCATATCACCAGGTGCCTATGAACCCCGCTGACTCAGAGAAGACGGCCGTCACCACGCCCTTCGGCTTGTACGAATACGCCTTCATTCCAATGGGGCTTCGCAACGCAGGTGCCACATTTCAGAGGGTCATGGACGGCATCTTCCGAGACGTGCCGTGCGTATTCGTCTATCTCGACGATATTCTGGTATTTTCCGAGAACCAGGAGCAGCATGAGAAAGATCTGCGCCTCGTGTTCAGCAAGCTGGCTGAGCACAAGCTTCGCATCTCACTGGAGAAATGCGAGTTCATGAAGAAGTCACTCATTTTCCTCGGTCATGACGTCACCAGCACAGGTGTCACACCTCCCAAGGCCAGAGTGAAGGAGATTCTGGACCTCCCTCTACCGCATGACTCAGAGTCACTGCGTCGCTATCTGGGACTCATCGGCTTCTACCGGCGTATGATTCCGCGATTCGCCGATGTCACGTTCCACCTGACCGAACTGATTCGACTCAATCCAAAAAGCAAAGAACTGACGTGGACAGAGGAACAGACTCAGGCGTTCAGTGACAGTAAAGCAGCGCTGGCTGGCGCCTGCACTCTGCCACATCCAGTGCCACACTGCGAGCAGTACGAGCTCGTTACTGACGCATCACAAGTCGCGGTGGGTGCCGCGCTCCATCAGATTGTGGACGGAGTACCCGTTCCCATTGGCTTCTTTTCACGGAAGCTCAGTCAGGCCCAACAGAAGTACGCCGCGTATGACAGAGAGCTACTCGCGGCTTACCTGGCCACACTCCACTTTCGTGACATGATCGAAGGCCGCCACGTTACCCTGCGAACGGACCACAAGCCACTCGTGCGCGCTTTTCACAGCCCGCACACGGCTAAGTCTGACCGCCAACAGCGCCACTGGTGTGTCGTCACGGAATACATCACGGAGGTCTCGTACATCCGTGGCAGTGACAGCGTGGTGGCGGACT